CTATACTACTACACCACTATCGCATTTGTAATAGTAAAAAAAAAAAAAAAAATCAAGGTTTAAAGCAAGATAATTAATAAATCAAAAGTTGCCAAGTGGTTAAACGCAAACCACAAAATTTATGCTGTAATTGAAATTTTAAAAAAATGATTGTGAATGACCACAAATGTTTTAAAAACATCTTGAGTTTTTGACACATGTTTTAAAAACTTGTTGAATGATGTGAAAATAATAAAATAATAATGCAAAGAAATAAAAAATGCTTGAAACGTAAAATTTTCAAATTTACATGTAGCTCTTCCTGATCACTAATTTATCTAAAAAACTTTTTGTAGACTCCCTAAACTTGGTTGAACTGGAAAATTCATTACAGTTTTTTTTTTTTTTTTAGTTTTGTGTCACCCTAATGTACAATAAAATTATTTAAAGATTTATGCAAATTTAGAAATATTGTAAAAATATTGCAAAACCAAGAGTTGCTCTCCAGTTTTGGCCAACAAATTTTTTTTCATTAAAAATGTTACCTGCCTCTGAAAAAACTCTATTTGAATAGACAGATAAAACAGGAGCTGATAAAAGTTTTTTACTATACAGCATATTTGAGGGTAATTAATCCCTATTATCCCTATAAATTTAACACTGTTTCTTTATTTTTGAATTTATCTATTTCTTCCCAGCCAGATCCCACGGAAATAAGAGTAGGCAATGCGAATCTAAAAGTGTTAAAGGTCAAAAAAAATTGCTGACCTCGTTTCTATGTTTTTTGGTAACCCCTTTGTGTCAAATTTTTTTTTCCGAGTTAATGCATACTCCTAAGAGTTTAAGGTCAGCAATTTATTGTCGACTTCATTTTTTCTAATTCGAAGGGCTGCAGCCATAAAACAATCCATTTCTTTTTTATTTCTTTATCTGCTATTGCAATTATCTTTCTTTGCTTTTTTTTTCTTTTGGATTAATTTCTTTTTTTTCTTTTAAAAATCTGTTTGAGATTGTCATTCTTAAAGGTATTACCAAGTCCCGAGAAATGTTGTGTTCATATTAAAAAGAATGTTAAAAAAAATGTCTGAACAAATTTTTTTTGATTGTTTATTAAGAAAAACAAATATTGTTGTTTTAGTCGAAGCTCGTTTTCTCCATTTTCTGTAGTATTTTGAGTATGTAAAATAAACGCAATTTTCAAAGCGCATTATACAGACTTGATAATTTATTCAAGCGCGTTTAATTCATAGGAGTTTTAGTGCATGACACCATGAATTTTTGTTTGTTTGTTTAAAACACTGATTGTTATTTTTTACATACAATTTCCAAATCATATTCATTTTTATTATGTTTTAAAGTTCTAAAATGTGTTTGTAAAACAAAATTAAAAACAAAATAAAATTAAAAACAAAATAAAATTAAAAACAAAATTAAATTAAAAACAAAATAAAATTAAAAACAAAATAAAATTAAAAACAAAATAAAATTAAAAACAAAATAAAATTAAAAACAAAATAAAATTAAAAACAAAATAAAATTAAAAACAAAATAAAATTAAAAACAAAATAAAATTAAAAACAAAATAAAATTAAAAACAAAATAAAATTAAAAACAAAATAAAATTAAAATCAAAATAAAATTAAAAACAAAATAAAATTAAAAACAAAATAAAATTAAAAACAAAATAAAACTAAAAACAAAATAAAATTAAAAACAAAATAAAATTAAAAACAAAAATAAGATAAAAAACAAAATAGTATTTTATTTGCGTAACTTTTTTTAAATAATCGTCTAGACCACGAGTATTTTGATTTCTTTTGTTATAAGTTTTTCTTTCAAAATATTAGATAAAATAATTTTTAACCTAAATAATAATGCATTTTTATTAATTTACTTTGTAAATTTTAAAAAAAAAAATTTTAACGCATTTTTTCTCTGATTTTAAAAAATGTATTTTTTGGTATTGAGGTGATCTTATTTCATCAAGTATATTTCTATTATTATAACATCCAATATATATTATGGTGGGGACTTAAAAATTAAAAAATTAATATATATGAACTTTTATTTTACAGACATAAATGGAAACATAATTAACTTATGTTTCCATTAACTAATGTTCTTAAAATATCTTGCGGAAGAATAAAAAGAATATTTGCGAACACTATAAACCCGCCAAATTTGTAACTAATGTTCTTAAAATATCTTGCGGAAGAATAAAAAGAATATTTGAGAACACTATAAACCCGCCAAATTTGCGAACAAATTAATTCTATTGGTTCAAATAATACACTGACTAAGCAAAATAAAGTTCTAGAGTATTCTGTTGAAATGTTTTAGGAATTGTATTATTTACGATTTGTTGCATTTTGAGATATCTAGTATAAAATTTTTAAGAATATATTATCAAATGAACTATTACTTTAATACAATGGCTCATTCTCGGAGTCACATCTCTCGGAGTCACATCTGTAAAGCTGTAAATCTTTTAAACTATTATCATTTGTTTACAAAAATAAATGCTTTATAATATATATTTTTTAAATTGTCAAAATTTTGAAAGTTAATTACAAATTATATATTTTATTAGTATATTCTTATTTTTTATATCTTTTCTTAGTGCTTGATTTAATTAATTGTTCGTTAGATTTGTAAAAAACAAACAAACAATTAATAAAATAAACTTTTGATAAAATAAGTAACTATAGTTAGCTAATTTAATAAAATTTAATAGTAAAATTTTTAAAGAATTTCTTGAATGTTTCCAATGACGTCATGCGCTACAACTCCTATGAATTAAACGAGCTTGAATAAATTATCAAGTCTGTATAATGCGCCTGGAAAATTGCATTTACTTTACATACTCAAAATACCACAGAAAATGGAGAAGACGAGCTTCGACTAAAACAACAAGATTTATTTTTCTTGGTATTCATTTATTAATTAGTTTTAATCAAAAAAAATTTGCTCAGACGTTTTTTTTAACATTCCCTTTAATATGAACACAACATGTCTCGGGACTTGGTAGTCCCTTTAAATGTGATGCATATAAAGCTGATGTAGATGGCATGATTTGTTACGTTATGAGATTTCTAGCATAGATTGTTTTAAGAATATATTACCTATTCAATGGCTCATTCTTGGAGCCACATCTGCATATCCGTGAATCTTATAAACTATTATTATTTGTTTACATAAATAAATGTTTTAAATATATATTATTTAAATTGTTAAAATTTTGAAAGTTTATTATAAATTGTAGATTTTATTAGTATATACTTATTTAAAGAGTATGTATTTTTTATGTAAATGTAATTTTGTGTGTCTATTTTTTATCAATTTAAATTGTAAACAAAGACTTAAAAAAATAATTACGTTTTCAATGAAGTTATTAATAATCATTAACACAAACTATGCATTTAAAGTAACTCGCAGATGAACAAGCAATGCGCCTGAGGTCACAACAGAACATAAATATATATATAGCAAGTTATTAGATATAAAGAAAAGTTTCTAGATATTGGTTCAATAAATCTAATTATTTTCGCTTAAGTCTCCATTCTTAAAAACTCTTTATATTTATTTTTGCTTTAAATACTAATTAAAATTAAAAAGCCCACTCACTAAACATCAGCGATATTGTGAAGCAGTTTTGTTTCCTCGTCATAAAAGTATTTTTAACTTTTTTCGTTGATTTCTATCTAGTAAATTTAATTTCTATAATAATTTAATTATTTCATTTATTTATCTTACTAAGAAGAATTGTTTCAAATATGTTAAACTTTTTAAACTACGCGAAACATAAAATAGGTATTAAACAAATTAACTTTTTTATTTATAAAATAATTTAGCTTAGATAAAACTAAAACTTGCAAACTTTGATAAATAAAGAACATTTTTAAACAAACATAAAATGTTACTTTATATAAAAAAAACATCGCTTAATTTTATAAAAAAATGATAAAGAGCGATGTTTCGAAAATATTTGTTCTAAGCGTAATTTATTTTGCTTTAAGTTTTTTTTTGTTAAAAGATACTTTATATTCCTGATTTTTTTTCTTTTGTAATTGTCTCTCATCGGTCCAATTAATCTTTTGTGCATTTTTTTTTTTGCTTTTTGAAATGTTCTCAAAATGACTAAAAAATCTGGCCAGCTTTTCGCAACCAAATATTACTTCCGTGGTCAGCAATCAAGAGCGATTGCTCCCTCTTCCCGACCAAGCCTGTATACGTATTTTTATCTTTTAATGATATCATTTAATCCTTTATCTTGAACAAAAGCCAAAATTTAGCCAATGTTTTTGCTCATAAGAGAAAAGTGAAAGTTTATGTTTTGAATCAACAGCTGAGGTATACTCTTTAAATAAGTATATACTAAAAAAAATGTACTCTACTCATTAGTACATTAAAGTGACTTTTTAAGAGTTACTGATAAATCTTTTTTCAATAGATTCTCTTAACATCTTTTTCATTGATTGGACTCTAGATTTATCTGCAAGGCTTCCAAGAAAACTATGCAATGCACAAATATGGCTAAAAAAAAGCCTCCCTAACTGTAGTTGCCTTTGTAACCTTGGAGAGGTCAACTACAGAGTAATGTTAAAATATAAATTTCTTTATTCCCTAATACAAGCTTTTTACAAGTTTCTTTATTCCATAATACAAGCAATTCAAAATATTAGTTTTTTTATGCCAAATTAATTTTTTATGCCATACTAATGATACTTTACTAAACCTTCAATTATATTTTAATTTGTGCCAAATTAAAATATAATTGAAGCTTAAGTAAAATATCATTACTACTTATAAACTTACAGATATATCAGCTTTAGAAAGAGAGTATTTGCACTAATCACATTAAAAAAAATTATTTTACGATTTTTTGAATTTGGACATTATTTTTATTTTGTTTATTTTGTTCAATTCATATTTTATTTTACTTGTATTTTTAGAATGTTTTAGAAGTTTTAGTAAAATTCTGAATCTCTATCTGTATGATTCAAACAAAATAAATAATATACCTGACCATCTTTGTATTTTGCTTGCTGTTTAGGTGTTTCAAATTTTCCAACCTCTACCAACCTTAAATTAAAATACAATATTTACACATTATATATATCTTTCAAGCTTTAAGCTACCAAATATATGAATACACTTTTTTTTTTTTTTCAAAGTTATTGCCATTACTTTATTGATAACATATTCCTCTTTTTTTTACTTTATTTGATAATAGACTCCAAAAACAATAAATTCCAAAATGCTAAAACAGAGAAAACGGTTTGTTTGTTTTTATATTTAAAGTATATGGAAAAAATATGGAAAATAAATGCTGAAAACCTATATGCATTGTTAGAAATTTTAGTAAATTTTATAAAAAGGTCTTCAATTTTTTTTTTTTTTTTTAATCAAGTAAACAAATGTTTTTTCAATGAAAAAAAAAAAGCAAATGTAAAATCAATATACTTTTCTTACTTAGTTTTTCAACAATGAGGTTGAAGGACAACAAACTTATGCAACTAAAAACATTTATTTCTGCTTAAAATTTTTTGCTAAATTGCTATTATTTTTTAATGAAAAATTTCTTCCCTGAAAACAATATTTTTTGAATAAAACAATTTAAAGTAAAAAAAAATTGTAAAACAAAAATTTGAAATTTTTTTTGAAAACTTTGTCTTACAAATTTTTTTCAAATTATTGTTTTACAGCTCACAAATTAGCGTTTTAGATCATCATTAAATGATCTAAAACACCAAATTAAATCCTAAAATTTTATATAACAATGTTTAAAAATATTATAATAAATTAGAAGTTATTAATTTGTCATAATTTATTTAGATATTAAACATTCACTTAAAAAAAAACTTTTAAACAAAGTTTTGTTAATTTTTTAATTATTTTAATTTAGTGTCCAAACGTGAAGATAATTTGGGTAGGAGTAGGTAGGGGGCAAACATTTTGAAGCTTTTTTTGTTCAAAGGTGTCCACCAGCCCAACTTTTTGCAAAGCCTCCTCATTTGACAGGTATAAACATACTTAAGTTTGGAGTTTGCACAATGCGTGAAGGTGTGCTATTTGAAACATCAAAAAATCTTATAGGTGCCCATGATCAAGAAAAAAAAAATTAACAAGACATAAGACATATAGCAGCCGTGGCGCAGTGGCAGCGCACTTGCCTCAGAAACGTAAGATCCGTGGTTCAAACCCCACCTCTGGGCAAGTTTTGTGACATCGGTTGTGAAGGAGGCATGAACTTCCTATTAAATGCTCTTCCATGGTGCTTTGTGATAAGACCGTAAGGACTTCTTGGGGCACCTAAAATCAACATTAAACAAAAAAAAAAAAACAAGACACCCATAAAAACACATTTTCTTATGGGTTTTTTTTTTATTTTGATATTTTTTAATATTATTGTTTCTTTCAACAGTTGCAGTGTAGTTAAACCTTCATTAATTATGTTTTTGTTAAATAAATATACCACCATATATAATCATGATTATATATGGCAGTAAATATAATACCATAAGATTATATATAGTAATATATTTATTTAACAAAAAAGATATTAAATGAAAGTTTAAATACACTGTAACTGTTTAAAGGAACAACAATATTAAAAAAAATCATAATAAAAAAAATTAAAAAAAGCCATAAGAAAACGTGTTTTAATGGGTACTTGATTAATTTTTTTTTTTTTTTCTTGCATATTTTTATAACATAATTAAAAAAAAAAAACGCAATGATTTTTTGGAATTGCAACCTAATGTCATGTCTATCATGAGAAGAATAGCATGCCATTGATTCTTTACATAAATTTATGACAACAAACGAATAATAACTTTAAAAATTATAATAATAGCAGTAATAAAAAGCTATTTAAATTGTGTAAATAACTTTAAAAGAAAAGAGAATAACTTTGAAAAAAATATGTAATTTTAACAAAATTAATAAAATTAAAAAAAACCTCGTAACAAATCGTTGCAAGATTTTGAAATTAAAATTTTTCTCGTTAAAACTTTTATAAATTTTTATTATCATTTCTATTTATTCGCCATTTTAAGTAAGCATGGTTACGTTCGGTCAATAAGAAATATTAAATAAGATTATGGTGTCATATTAATTTTAGTCAAATAGATTAAATCAATAAAATTCAGTAAGTATTTTTGACTGGTTGAGTTTTGAAAAGCGCATTTGTAAAACACTTTTAGTGTCCTACACGTCCGCCAACTCATGTTTATGTGAGTGTTTGACAAAGTATCTAACATCGTCTAACTAATATTGCGGGGGTAAATCCAGAAATTTTTTGTGTTTGAGTCTAAATTCAAGGCATAAAAAACAAACTCCAAACATTTATTTGTTTATAAGTCGATTAAGAATGCTTGGTAGATAATTGCGGTGATTGGAGTCTGGGAACAAAAAACCTGTAAAATTTTGGCCACAACTGCTCCAAACGTGAGAGCTTCAAGTTGATAAATCATTTTTTTTTTTTTACATTTCTTTAATAAATTTATATTCATCGATAAAAATTTAATTTTATACAACAAAGTCCTAGCGTTCAAAACTTATAAATTTCAAAATTTATTTAGTTATAATAATTTGATTATTATTAGTTATAATAATTTGATTATCATTAAGACCCCCAATTTGAGGAGGTTTAAATTTTTTAAAGTTATAATTTTTGAACGCTTGTAAAGTATTGTATAGAGTTTAGAATTTATTGATGAGTATAATTTATTTGAGAAAAGTTGTGGTCAAAACAGGGTTTATTAGTTTCCTGACTCCGATTATCGCAATTTTTTAAAAAGTATTCTTATTTGACATAAGTATAAACATATTAATGTTTGTTGGATGTCTGTAAGTTAGTTAAATAATTCAATCATCAAAAAATGCTGGATTTTCCCCTATTTTGAGAGCAAGTAAGTGTACATTCATGTGTAGTAAGTTTTTAAGGACCCTTAACTCAAAATCAAAAATCTTATATATTTTTTAACTATGTAATTTTTACATTTATTTCTAAATAACTCAATTACAATCATATAATAAAAGTATATTTGTATATACACGTATTTTCTATAAATTTTTTACTTTTTTTAAATAACGTTTTCTTTTAACTTATTTTTTTTTTCAAGGGTAATAAACTACTTTATATCAATAATAGTTTAATATTTCAACAACACCATGAATTTCTCTTTAAAAGTATCCAATTTATTTTTATTAGAAGAAATGATAGGCAATAACTTTTCATTACGTTTAAAACACAACTGTAAAGTATGATTTCTTTTATACCGTGAAGAGATCATTTTTTGTCCCCTTTCAGCATTTTCGTCCCCTTCAAGTTACTTTGGTTAAATTGAACTTTTTATATGGAAAATTAAGATATCAAGTTAACTGGATTAAATTTTTTTTTAATATAAGACATTTAAGACATAAATAACAGTAGCATAATATTTTTTTATATTTTTTTGTATTTAGATAATAATAGAATAGTAACTAGATCTTAATAAGATTGCTATCAAATAAAATGTATAATAAAATATATAATAAAAGGTGCTAATCCACGGCCTACACCTCACAAAATTACACTATATTTTCATATTGGAGTGTATTTTTTTCATGAAATTGGTAATATTTATATACAACAAGTTGTTATTTATCTATTCCACATCACTTGCAAATATTACAGGACTATCTTAGAGTTGAATGTTGGGTTTTGGGGAAGGTTTAACACACCATATCAAAATTTCCTTCTTTTAAATTTTACAATCTTTATCAAAATGATTAAATTTATTATAAAAAAATAAAAGATATATTTCAATACTTTAACAAATAGTAACTAGTGGTGTATAGATTGCTTTTATAAAAGAGAGTGTATACCGCTCCCCCCACCCTCCATCTAAGCCTGAAAAATTTTTAATGAGGATTTCACAAAAAGTGTTTAAATGTTTTTTGTAAAAAACCAGAAAGAAATTAGCATAAAAAACTACTTTACTATATTAAAAAATGCGTCTAAGAAACCATTTTGTCATGAAAAAGGACAAATTATCCACTCCAACATAAAAAAAAAAACACAAAAACAACAAGTCATTTGAAATAAAAAAGTGTAGTATAGAATGTATAAGTTGCTTTTATGCACCTCCTTCCATAAAGGCAATTTTACACCTAGAGGTGTATAAATTGCACTTATGAAAGAAGGCGCAAGCTACCCCTCCTGTCCAAACCAAAAAAATTTAATTGCAATTTAACAAAATAGTGTTAAAATGCTTTTTTAAAAAGAAATTATTATAAAAAAATATTACAGAAAGCATCTGAGTAATGTAAAGGAACCCCAACCTATGACAAAAACACACACCAACCTATGACAAAAACACACACCAACCTATGACAAAAACACACACCAACCTATGACAAAAACACACTCCAACCTATGACAAAAACACACACCAACCTATGACAAAAACACACACCAACCTATGACAAAAACACACACCAACCTATGACAAAAACACACACCAACCTATGACAAAAACACACACCAACCTATGACAAAAACACACACAAAAACAAGTCTTTTGAAATAAAAAATGTAATTATTTCTTGTCTATGCGCTTCTAGTGAGTGATTTAATTTTTAAATTCTAATAATGAAACAAAATGAATCATTTTTAACAAAAGACACCACATAAAGGTAAGCCATCAAAAAATTTCCAAGTCACAAAACTTGCGGTACTTATTTTGCAATTCACAAAACTTGCAGTACCGTAAAACGGGTTTACTTTGAACGTTTTTGAGATATTTTTACTTGCTCTTCTTTCACTATTGACAATATTTGAAATTTAACAAAGTGAATGTAGAGGCTAAAATTTACTCCTACATAATTCAAATCCAAAATAATATTTAAATAAAAGTATTTTGTATAATATTAATTTAAGTAGTCATTCAAGTTACCCCGCAAATGGGGTAACTTTGAATGCGTTTTTTGTAAAAGCAAAACCTATTTAAAAACGCCTTGTTTTGTTTTAAAATTTAATAAAAACAACATTCTAGTTTCACAGTAATATATTATTGCTAAAATAATATAACATTTTTTTATAACAAACACCCATTTAGTATTTTATTTTGTTTAAAAGGGTTTTTAAGTGGACAAGCATAAAAAAAGTCTCATTTACATCAGTTTTACTTCTAGACTTTGCAAGTGGAACATTTTTACATTTTGCCAAAAATCCTAAAAAGAAATATTTTATAATAATTTTATAACAAGATCAAAAGTCAAAAATTTTTTTTTCCCCTTTTGAGTCTGCTTTTTCCTTTACATCAACATGAAAAAATTGTTAAAGTACATTAATTACTGCTCGGCGAACTAAAGTTATAATTATCTGGCCAACGATTGAAGATGATATTTATATCTAATAGGTAACTCCCATATTTTTTTCAAAACCACTAAGCAATTAAGTTGTTGATTACCTTTTGATTTAACAAATATAATGATTATAAATAAATAAAAGATAAGAAGATTTATTTTTTGTAATAGTCTATGCATTTTTTAAACAAAAGGTTTCCAATTGATCAAGTCTTTTCTTAAAATATTTTTTAAAAGTTCAATAAAATGCAACATTAAGAGATTGCAATAAATTGGTAGAGTTACCAGTAATAGAACAAGATACTGTTTCTTTCTCAACAAGATTTTCTTTAGTAAATTCAAGTTTTTCAATGTAAAATTTACTTTGATTTAACTAATAGGAATGCTCCAACAATTTGACAAAAAACAATAACAAACCAGTCAAAAAAGTGAATAGAATCAAACCGTTCTGGCTTTGATTGTATTTTTGAATGTATATACATTAGATGGTCGACTTCAGTTCTTGTTGTGCATAAATGGTCAGCTTTATAAACATAACCAAAGGCAACTTGACCAGAAACACTAAACACGATTGACGTAACATAACATGTTGCATATTTGTAAAATTTTTGGACTCTCCGTGTGTTTACGGATTAAGTTTTTAAACTTTATTATACAAAGTGACAGCTTGCACTCAATGAACATTTAATAACTTTTTTATCTAATAATGTTTGTTGTTACCACAAAATTATCATTCAGTATAATTTATATACTGCCTTGTATTAATTTTTTTTTCATATAAAAGTGACATAGTACTTCTATGAAATGCTAAATAAAAACAAATTTAAAGATAAAAAAGTATTTTCAACAAATATTATTCAACACAATATTGAATGTACACACAAATATTTTTTATACAAGATTTATATATATATATATATATATATATATATATATATATATATATATATATATATATATATATATATATATATATATATATATTAGTGATGTGCCGGGTACCCGGTTCGGACCCGGGGACCCGGCAGTTCGGCTGTTTTACCGGGTACCCGGTATCGGCCATTTTGTTGCAGTACCCGGCACCGGGTATCTTCAAATTGATTTTTCCCTAAATTTAAACTTTAACCATTAAAGTTCTTGATATAAGTCTAAAAATGTTATGTAGTCGATAACCACAAAGTTCTATTAACTTAAAACAATCTCACTTAAAATATTTTTTAATACATTTTTGCAAAAAAATTTATACAGATACAAAAACTGTAACGCTAAATGAAATAATTCGAGAATACGAATAAAAAGAATGGGAGAAAAAGTTTTAGAATAGCTTCTTTTTATTCTGTTAGAACACAAGATAATTTTTAGCAATTTAGTTTTGAATGAAACGCTTATAATGCTTTCGAACGCTGATACCACTTTTCATTCGAATCAAGCAAAAATCATAAAAGTAGAGATATAAGTTAAATATTATACACATTTTTTATATTTTAATTTCGATAATATTTATAACAAAATATTATTTAGGCCCGCTCCACCAGGAAAGAAAAATAATTTTAAACTAAATATAGTTATTAAAAAACTGTTGCACAACTTTTGAAAAAAGTTAGGCCCTTTTGCGGGGTTTTGCTAAATGGTACTTCCGCCACATAACTTTTGGTTAGTTAGCGTAAAAAGCGTATTTTGTGTGAATAGTTCAGCGCTAGAGATTTCACAAGATTTTATTCCAACTTTTAAAAAATGGACTCGGTGCCGAGAACCTGGACTCGGACCCGGTTTTTTCAGCCGGGTACCCGGAATCGGAGACTCGGCATAAACTGGTTCCGGCACATCTCTAATATATATATATATATATATAT